GGAAAGGATGAGGAAGAGGAGATTCCTCCCCCAAGCACAGATGTCTCCAGTATAGGAGGCTGAGAATGAAAACCACCAAAAGAAGTGTCCACAGAGTGTGACATGGAGGAAATGAAATCTGAAGAAGCACAGGAACAAACATGAACATGAGATGAGTAGTGACATGTCACAGGAATCTCAACACCCCCCCTTGCTGATGACTGATTTTGATGACAAAAGTGGAGATGATGATGAGAGTTGAAAGAGAGAAAGAAATAAAACCGAGAAGAGAAGAAAATTAGACAAGCCCAAACATGAGTCGATGTTTTTCCAGCATAACACGAGGAAGAGGTTTAGTGAGCATATCTGCAAGCATGTCGTGCGTGGAGACATGTACGATTTGAAATATGTCCTCCTTGACACAGTCACGGACAAAGTGGTATCTGGTGTCGATATGTTTTGTTCTGGCGTGGTGTTCTGGATTGTTGGCAAGAGCCTCTGCCCCCTCGTTGTCGACATGAAGTGGAAGAGCCGATTTGGGCCGGATAGATAGTTCTGTGAGAATGTTCCGCAACCAAAGCCCCTCTTTACAGGAATCTGCAAGAGCTTTGTACTCTGCTTCGGTACTGGACAGTGAGACAGTGGCTTGTTTGCGGGATTTCCAGGAAATAGCCCCATCGCCAATTCTGTAGGTGTAGGCTGAAGTTGATCGGCGGTCCTGGCGGTCTTCGGCCCAATCTGCATCGGAGTAACCTGCACAGGTAAGTGAACCACCCAGACGCAGACGAATCGATTTGGTTGAGGCCAAGTAGTTGAGGATTCTAACAGCTGCAGACCAGTGGGAAGAAGAGGGGTCACGAAGAAACTGAGATAGCTTGTTTACAGCAAAGGAGACATCCGGACGTGTACATTGGGCTATCCATAAAAGAGATCCAATGAGTTGGCTGTAGGGGCCAGGGGACACGTCTTCGTCTGCGGTACGTTTGACTAGATCTTTAAAGAAGGAGGAGGTCAGTGTTTTGGTGGCGATGTGCGTGCCGTTCAGGAAACGGGAGACCATATCATCAATGTAGTGGCCTTGAGACATATAGAGAAGTTAGTTGTGGTGATCGCGAGTAATTTTAATTGAGAGAAAATGATGGAGGTCCTCATCTGCCCCAATCTTGAATTTTGTTCCAAGGCTGGAGATGATGCTTTTGACAAAAGAATCTTCTCCTACAACGGCGAGGTCATCCACATGAACGGTAATTGCTCCCAAGAGTTTCAAGTTGTGAACCTTAAAGTAGAGAGTTGGGTCATACTTGGACTGGGTAAGGCCAGTGTCGAGAAGCGCTTGATGGAGTTCTTGATTCCACTGCCGAGGAGCTTGCTTGAGGCCGTAGATTGAGCGATGAACTTCACAAACAAAATCAGGGTGAATAGGGTCTTCAAAGCCGGGAGGTTGTTCCATGAAGACAGGTTCGTCCAGGTGGCCATTCAGGAAAGCAGTCTTGAAATCTACTTGGCGCCCCGTCCATGACTTTGATGCAAGGAGACTGCAGATGAGTCTGAGTGTTTCAAGACGGAGAGTAGGAGCGAAAACTTCCTGATAGTCAACACCTTGAACCTGAGAGTAACCCATGGCGACCAGACAAGCTTTCAATTTGAGGATAGACTTGTCGGGGCGGCGTTTGACCTTGAAAACCCACTTAGATTTGATTATTTTTCGCTTTGCTGGCCTTGGAACCAATCGCCACGTAAAAGAGACCAAGGAGAGAAGAGAATTCCTCATCGGCCCCTCTAACGGCCATTTGGCTTTGTGAGGAGACTTTTGTAG